CGCCTCGAGGACCCAGGCCCGTGGGGCGGGACGCGGATGTCCACCGAGGGGGGGGGTCCCCGGGGCGCCTGCCCACGTCCCCCAGGAGGGGCCGGGCTGCCCCTCGGTACCCGGTGCTTCCCAAAGAGATCCCATGACACAGCCCGGTGTGCAGGGGGAGGGGGAGGGGGAGGGGCACAGGTGAGTGCCGGGCTCAGAGCAAGCGTGTGCCCAACGAAGGAGTGTGCACAGCCCCCGAGCCTCCTGGTTACCATTGCATGCCGGCAGGTGTGTGTGCACTAGTGGGGCAGGCTGTCCGAATCACAGGTGTGCACCAGGGCCATTGGTGACATCCCCTGAGTAGCCACACCGCGGGTGCCACTGGGCGGGCCTTATGTTTGGCCAGTGACCCTGGTACTGGGGGACCAGTGGGCTTCTCCAGCGGTCAAGTGGTTGGCAAGCCAGTCCCAGGCCAACTTTCTTCACTCAGCAAATCCTGAGCACTTAGCAGTGTAGTTAGCACCAGTGTGCGAGTACCTGGCGTGTGTGCCCTCTTACACTCACGCCCATGGAACAGATAACCAGACGCAGAGAGGTTAATACACTTGCTCAGGCCACACAGCTGGGACCTGGCGGAGGTGGGAGTTGAAGGCAGACTGGCCTCGGTACCCGCGTGATACTGTGTGGGGCCTTGCTGTCTTCCGGACAGCTCTGTGTGTTGGGAGCTCTGGCGGGTCCAGGCAGCCAGGGTGGGCAGAGGCCGGGCCCGGGGAGGGGGAGGATGATGTGGTGGTCTTGGGGTGTGCACCAGTTGCTGATGTCTTGAGGCTGGGGTGGGCGGGGGTCGGTGCCCAGCTCTGTGTGGGTCTTGAGGGAGAGAGGGGCTTGTGTGCCACAAGAGGTCACTTCTCCCAGCAGCCTTGAGTCACGAGGCCCCAAAATGACTCCCGGCATTGCAAAATGCTGAGCCCAGCCTTGTGGTAACAGCCGAGTCCCCTGAGCCCGGCCTCCGTCCCTCTTCGGCGGCCTCTCCTGGAGGCCTGGCCTTCCTTCTTCCCAGAGGGCTGCCGTCTGCGGTGCGCTCCCCTGTCAGCCGCCATCTGTCTCAGCCCCTGAGTGAAAGGCCAGGGCGGGTGAGGGGCAGCGGGGTCCCAGCTCCACCCCGGGGCCGGCCCTGCTCCGCAGGGGCCGCTGGCCCCACCTGGCGGTGTGGCCCTGGGGCTGGAAGAAAGGCCAAGAGGCTGAGTGTGTCCGCCCTCCCTCCAGGCCTCTCTGGGCAGCGGCTGTGCTGGCCCCTTGCTGAGTTGGTTTGTGGGGTTCTGGCTGCTCTCCACTCCCCCTCTGACAAGGACTGCCCCGGTTCCCACGGCCTACCCCCCATGGGGCGGTGACTCACCCTGCTGGGGGGGGGTGTTGTCCAGGAGGGGCCGGGCCCCTTCAGAGATAACTGCCCCGGGGCAGGGTGACCTGGGACAGGGGCGCCTGGCTGAGGCCCTTGCAGGTGGCCTCAGGGGCAGGCAGCGTGAGCACAGGCCAGCACTGCCCTGGGTATGCCTGGGGGGGCAGGGGCGCTTCTGGTGCTTTGATAGTACACTGGAGTTGCGAGCGCTCTGTCACTTGTCCTCGGTGGGCACCGGAGCCTCTCTGAGCCTCTTTGATCTCTGGGAGGGGAGGCCGGTGGGAGCGGCCCTGGTGAGGGCCGCTGCCTCAGGACAGGGTGAGGGAATTGGTGTGTGTGGGATCGGATGAGCCTGTCGCCGGGGAGCGTGGTTGGCCTGGCTCTGGGCTTGGTACTGGACGGTGGGCAGTGCCCTCACTTGGCTTGTTCTGCAGCAGTGTGGCCCCGCCCTGTCCCCCCTGCAGCCCCCCATACCCCCGTGCCTCAGGTTCCCGTGACTCTGGCTGGTACAGTGACCCGAAGCCCGGCCTGTGGCCCGCAGGGTCATGAGAGGTGGCGTGAAGGGGCCCGGGAAGCCGTGGAGGAGCAGGAGGAAGCTGGGGAAGTTGAGGACCAGGAGGCAGCATCCCGTGCAGAGGGGGCACCGGGCAGAGGCCTGCAGAGAGAGGCTGGAGGACCCACGGGGGGGGGCAGCATGCTGGGGGGAGTGGAGTCAGCACAGCCTCCCAGCAGTGGGGAGGCGCGGAGGAGTCTGTGGGAGCACTGTGATCCGTCCAGCGTGGGCAGCAAGGAGACCTCCTGGGAACGGGAGGGGGCAGCACACCTGCGGCGCGCAGCAGACTCCTGTGCCAGCGGCTGGGGCGGCTGGAGATCCTTTTAGAAGGCACGTGGGAGGGAGGCTGGGAGGAGGAGGGACGGGGGTGGCAGAGCCCCTCTTCCTTCTCTTCGTTCGCAAAGATCTCTTGAGCTTGCTTTGTGCTCAGCCAGACGGGGGCTGCAGCCATGGAGATGGCCCGTGGCGGGCTGGTGTGAGCTGGGGTGGAGGTCTGGAGGGACACGGGGGCCACCGAGACTCAGAGGACAGGATGGGGGGGGGGAGAGGCTGGCGCCTCTAGGGGACCGGGTGGGTGTGTCTGGGAGTTCCTGTGTGGCACCATGGCCTGGTGGGATGCATGTGGAGCAGGACCCGTCTCTCCGTGTGGTCCTGTGAGTGGGGTGTCGCCACCAGGCCCCTGGAAACGGCACCTGCCGCTCCTGCCTCTGCCCCGCGGGTGTCTCTGGAGCCTCCCATGGGCTGGCCCCCGAGGGTCCGGCTGCACACCCCGGCAGGCAGGAAATGATTGCGCGCCGCTGTGCTGCCGGGGTGGGGGTACCGCCCAGAGCATTCAGAGGCAGAGGTGCTGGGAAGACCCTACCTTTGCCCCTGGTTATGGTAGCACACTTGGCTGGGGCTTGCTGGGATATTTTGGAAGAGAAATCAAGGCAAGAAATTTGCCTTGTGCCCAGATGGGAAGATAGCAGGTTCAAAGCCAGCCTGGGCTACACAGACTCTGTCTCAGAGAAGGAAAGCAGTTACCCTCCCCTCCGCCCCCCTTCATGGGGCTTGGATCTCTTTCCTCAGATCACAGCCTGTTCGACAGGAGAGCATGCCAATGGGGAAACCGAGGCCGAGGGTCCACCCAGCAAAGTGGGGTCAGCTGAGACTGAGAGCCTCTCCTCCCCAACCCAGCCTTTGAGTGACCATCCCCTTCATGTTTAAATCACAAGACACACGACAGGCGGGTGCTGGGCTGCGCTCTCAAGGTGTCTTTTTATAGTAAAGGTAGAAGAAGCCGGAGGCAGCTTCAGGCTGGCACGCGGTGGGTGGGTGCACGTGCCAGGAAGGTATTTTCTGCATCGGCTGAGGGTGGAGGAGAGCGTTGCCAAGCTGGGCTTTCTGCGCAGCAGGGGCTGGGAGCGAGCGCCCAGAGCCAAGGCGCCGGCAGGGACCCTCGGCAAGATTTAGGGAGGAGGGCTGGCAGAGAGGCAGACAGCTCCCGGGCATGTGGGGTGAGGGCGTCAGCGCCCATCCTGACCCCACTGTGTGACTCAGCGCAGTCATTTGCCCTCTCTGAGCCCCTTGCTTCCTCATGCTAGACAAGAGCCAGTGCCTTCTCCAAGGACGTGGGTAGATACAAATCTCACAGGGTCCAGGAAATGGCAGGTGCGGGCAGTGAGAGAGAGGAGCCGTCCGAGAATGGTGCTAGGTGTGCCGAACAGATGGGTGCCCAGGGGGGGGGGTCAGGCGCTGGAGGAGAGATCAAAGCCGACTGTGAAGGGAGCAGGGGTGGGGCGAAGTGGAGGGGTGTGGTAAGGAGAGGATTATGTCTGAGAGGGAGAGAGGGAGAGCACACATTGTGTGTGTGTGTGTGTGTGTGTGTGTGTGAGCGCCCGTGTGCACTCACTTGCTGGGGATAGAACCCAAGCCTTCAATATGTGCTGGCCACGTGCTCCGCCCTGACTCTGAGAGCACCCCTCTCCACCAGCACGCGCCGCTCACCATCTGTCAGGCAGGCATTGCTATCACCCCAGTTTAAAGATGGTTCACACCCGTAATCCTAGCTACTCGGGAGGCTGAGATGTGAGGACTCCGGTTCAGAGCCCGTCAGGGCAGGAAAGTCTGTGTGTCCCGTTAAAGACCAAAACGCCAGAAAGGGAATTACGTCTCAAGGGGTAGAGCACCAGTGTTGGGTGAGAAAGCTAAAGGACAGTGCACACCCTGAGAGAAAGCCGGGCTTGGAGAGGAGGGGCTCACCCTGGGCCGCACAGCTGGGCGCTGGACGGCACACTGGTGGCTGGCTGTGGAGTCTGGGGGCTTGCAGCCTGCTCCTGCTCCTGCTCCTGCCCCTGCTCCATTGTCAGCCCTGGAGCTGCAGGTCCCCTGGGGCTGGGATGCGGTTATTTGGTGGCTTGTCTGTGACGGTATCTCCCTGGGGGCCTGCGGAGGCTGATCCTCTGCCGCGGCTGCACAGGTCCAGCCGCAGGGGCAGCAGGGGCTGTGGCTGCCCGAGGGCTGAGCTCCTCTCTCAGAAGTGTCAAGTTGTACCTGGCTCCGGTGGGTGCTGAGAGGGATAGCAGAGGTGGCATCTGTGGCCACCTGAACGGAAGTTGCTGGGGTTTCTGCCTGCCGGCAGGCCACAACCTCTAAAAGATCCCCCCCCCCCTTCCCTCTGCACCAGGGAAGGACATGTGCAATGAGCCCAGAGCTGGTGTGTCTAGGAAGAGGACCCTGACCCCCAGGGAGATGGCCCCTCCAGGTCTAGGCCTCGTGTCTCGGCCTCCGCTGTCGCAGGTAGCGCTTGCCTGGCTGCTGGTGTTGCGTGAAGGAAGGCGTGTGTCTGTGCCGGCACTGGCCGGGCCACACCGTGGGCAGGGAGTGGAGCCAGGCAGTCACCAAGCCTGCACCTGTCATCTGAACACCAGCCAGCAGGTGTCATTTGGGCTTCTGGGGGTCTCTGGAGGGGGGAGAAGAGAAGGGGCCTGGCCTTGTGATATGGCAGCCCCCCAAAGAGGTGAGTCACCCCCCCCCCGTCCCTGTCCACTGGGGCCTAGGAACGGTTGGTGACATTGTCCCTGGTGCCACGTTGGACTAAAGTGTCTGGGTGTCCGGGAGATGGGGACATTGGAGTGGTAGGCTGCCACGCTGGCACAGCGTGGGGAAGAGGCTGAGCCTGGGGGTCCCGCAGGGAGGGGGTGAGGGCTTGGACAGCACCTTGGGGGGGTCCTGTAGTCAGCGGTGGGGGGAGGCTGCTGCCCACGTCCCTGTGAATGCCCACAGGTGCTGGAGGGGGCCTGGCTGTGGCTGGGCCAGGTGACTGGGTGTGTGTGTGGGGGGGGTACTTCCAGCGCTGACAACCGCGTGGGCGTTGCCATGAAAACCAGCTTGCTGTCCCCCAGTGGAGACAGGCCCCCAGAGTCCCTTAAGCCCAGCCTAGTGGAGTTGATCCCAGTTACCTAGAGCACAGCCTTTGGCTTTTTGTTGTTTTTCTCTCTCAACAAAAGCGCCACCAAACAGGCCGTCCAGGCCCGGGCCCAGGCCTGGTCGGCAGAGGCCCGCGAGGCCCTTCTGTCTCCCGCCCTGGATGCCCCGTGCCTGGCCACAGTCCCTGCTCTGGAACCCGATAGATAAATCTCAGCAGAAGAGGCAGCGGGGAGCCTGCAGCTGCATTAGAGGCCGCAGGCCCCCTGGGACTGGCTCTGCACTTTCCACTTTGGCTGTGATCAGTAAATATCAGGGGGTGGGGCGTGGCCTTGAGGAAAGGCCACTGCCCTGATTGGGGTTGGCCGCTGTCCATCACCTTCCCGCGAGGCCCCACCCCCTCTCCTGCTGGCCTCTGTTTGGGGTGGCCTTCTCTAGGAGTAGCTGCGCTTCGGTGGGCCTCAGTTTCTCTAGCTTTCTAGCCGGACCTTCCCTGTACTGAGTTTCCAGGAGCCGTGTGTGGATCTGGCCATGGAGGGCCCCCCGAGGGGACCTGCCACCCTCCCCTCCCAGCTTCCATTCCTTACTGTGGGGGAGCACCCGCCAGACAACTGCTCAGACACTGTCCCCCCTGTGATATGTGTGTGCTGGGGCCAGGGCAGTGCCGCTGAGTGTCAGCACCACGCAGCCTGCTGGAGGGCCCGGCCAGCCGTGCACTCCTGGAGGTGGGCAGGGGGCACAGGACAGTCTCACAGCGCAGAGAGCTCGAGGCTTGGCACAGCTGGGCCCTCGGTTTCCTCATCTGTAGGGCGGCAGGGCGGGCCGTGGGCAGCTGAGAGACGCTCGTCCCGGCCTCCGGCGGCAGCAGGGACCTGGCCTGCTGCTTCCTGGGGAAGGGCTTGTGCCCGGTGGGGCTGGCTGCTCCCCAGCGTGTCCAGCTGTCTCTGTCAACTCAGGACCCTGGGACTGAGACCCCCTCCCCTTCCTCCAGGGGGACCTCCCTGAAGTTCTGGAAGGATCTACAGAGGTGCTGTGTTCTTTTCCCTTTTTCTGTTTATCTGGCTGGTCTAGGCAGTTTGAGGCCAGGTAGGGAACGGCTGTGCTGTGTGTTTGAGGGGGCCGCTGGCCCTCTGTGCGGTGCCGGCCCTCTGCAGAAGTGTCTTGTCATCCTTGGAGGGACGGGCAGCTCCCATGTTGACTGGGACCCATTTCCTCCCTCCGCTGGGGGTGCTCGCCAGAGCCAAGTCCATGCCCCCCTTCGCAGGGTCGGCACACAGCCGACGTCTGGCTTGTCCCATGCCTCAGTTTACCCTCAGGCTGGGGCTCAGAGCCGGGGTGTGGAGGTTGGCTGCATGTGACCACCTTGGACACGTTGCCCTGGGCCCTAAGAGGGTGGAGCGAGGTGGGCAAAGTGGACAGTTGATGCCCGGAGGGCGGGCCCTGCCAGGGCACCACCGTCCTGCGGGTCCAGAGTCCTTTCTCCTAGACTGGCTTTGCCGGAATCGCCCCGTTGGATCCATCTGACCACTTGTGTGTCCTGCCCAGCTCCACCTGCTCCCTGTCCTTTTCCTACGTCTCCCTACATGAAGGAGACAAGGCCCCATGTGCCGGGGACTCAGGCCGTGGGGGCCAGGGTCACCCTGAGCGAGGCCTTGGGGGCCCGGAGCCAGGCCGAGGTTTATGGGAGCAGCAAGGTCGGCTTTCAGGATTTGTGTTTCCCTGGTTTTTGTCTTACAGCTTTGCGGTGTAGCACAGGGTGGCCTTGAACTCCCAGGCGCGCTCCACACATGCAGCTTTTTTTTTTTTAAAGTAATCGCTTTATTTCGAGATAATTTTCGATTTGCAGGAAAATTGCAAAGACGGTACAGACAGTTCCTGCTCCATCGCCAGCCTCTTACATCACCGCGGCCCATTGGTCCAAACAGAGGCCCGCACTGGAGCATTACTTCCCATTCACTCTACCGGGGCCTCCAGGGTCCCAAGTTGCCTTTTGTGCCAAGCTTGTGGTGTCAAGGAGCCACCAAAAATGAAATGCACGCCGGCTCCGCTTGGTGCCCCCGGGCACCGGCTTGGTACAGAACCGTGGCTTTTGCACGCTGCCTGGTGCTACCTGCAGAAGCGCTGGGACCTGGGGCAGGGGGTCTACAGGCAGGATGTGAGGCCCGGCTGCCCGCACTTTCCCCTCCAGCTGGCTTGGTGGGGGGGCGGGAGGGAACCAGTGCAATCCCAGTTGGTAGTAAAATTGCCATGTCAGGGATTTAGTGGTCGAGTGGGCAGAGCTGAGCTGACCCCCAGGAGGCGGCCAGCGTGATGGGGAGAGGCCAGCCTGCCCTCAGAAGGGAGCTGGGATCGGTGAACACTGGTTGGCCAATTTTAGAGAGAGGCAAACTGAGGCTCATAGGGGAACCAAAACTAGCTGCTGTCCAGGTCTGAGAGCCTGCCTCTCCTTTGATCCTACACACAGTAGGCAACCCGTCAACCCACACCTCCCCTGAATTCCCTAATACTGGGCACAGTTAGATTACTGTCACTCTGCTCAGAAAGGAAGCTGGACAATACAGTCATTCACATTTTAGTCGAAATTTAATAAACGTTTTCCCCAGAGCACATTTTCTCCCTGGAGAAACTCATGTACCCTACACCTGGATCGATGTGGAAGTGGTGGCCAGCCCAGCGAGTGAGGGGTGGGGAGGAGTTAGTTCGGGTTTGTTTTGGCCACATCTGGGAAGCTGATTACAAACCTGCCTCAGGGCACACCTGGAGCAGCCATGGGGAGGTGACTGGGAAGTGCTTGCGGCTCAGCGGTCTGGGGGAGGGGGTGGGAATGTTTGCAGAGGGGCCGGGAGTGTTTGGGGAATGTGGATCTGGAGGGGCTGGAGCAGGGCAGGGGGGGGAGGCAGGGCTGCAGGCTCCCGTTGGCAGGTCCGGTCTAGAGCGCCAGACCCGAGACAGTGGGTGCCAGGCTGTGATGGGGGACCAGCGCCCAGCGCACCCTTGGGGACCAGAGGGGCTGGGCTGTGGGGCGGGGGCGGGGGGAGGGAGAGACTGGCCCGCTGTCTCTGCTGTCCCATGCGGTATGGAAGGAGGTGCTGGGAAAGGACTGAGTGCGACCCCGTGGGAGAGCAAGTGTCCTGGGCACTCGGGATGGCTGCCATCCCCAGGCCTGGGCCGTGTCCCCTTCCTGGGCCAACAGCTCCTACTGGGAGCCGGGGGGGGGGGGCATTTCCCAATTGCCTGGGCCTGGGGTCCAGTCACCCAGCTTCCGTCCAGTCAATCGGCTTTACGGCCCCCAGCACAGCCGACGGCTCTCTCTCCTCTAATTTATTATTATTTTTTTTTAGATTTTATTTTTAGGATAAGGAAAAAAAAAAGTTGGGGGAAAGGCTTTTTAGAAAATTCCTTCAGCACAGAATTAATGGCTGTGAACGTCAAGGCTGCAGCTAGAACAGCAGCGAGAGCATTCCCGGCCCCTCCCCCGCTGCTCGGGCAGCAAATC